TTAGATTATACCGTATCCTAGATTGTATGTGTTGTAATGTTTCATCATACACTCCATTCTGTTTAACAACAGTATACTCTTTGTGTTATAATGTTTCATCGTATACTGTACCTGTTTAACAGCAATAGACTATACGTGTTGAAATGTTTCTTCATGTACTCCACCTTATCTAACACCACTAGATTATATGTGCTATACTGTTTCATCATGTATTTCACCTTATTTAGCACCATCATACTACATGTATTGTAATATTCCAACATGATCCAGATCAAGCCGCATGATCGTGACATAACATTGGCCAACCCTGCACATCCTAGTTAATTTGGATACACTTTAGCTGTTAGAACATGAGAAGTACTACACTTTAGCTCTTAGAACATGAGAAGTACTACACTTTAGCTCTTAGAACACGAGAAGTACTACACTTTAGCTCTTAAAACATGAGAAGTACTACACTTTAGCTGTTAGAACATGAGAAGTACTACACTTTAGCTGTTAGAACACGAGAAGTACTACACTTTAGCTCTTAAAACATGAGAAGTACTACACTTTAGCTGTTAGAACATGAGAAGTACTACACTTTAGCTCTCAGAAGAGGAAAAAATTGTTTACATCTATATTATAATATATGCTCCCAAGTTATTCAGCAGTAAGATTAACGGAGTATAAAGCTAAATTTTGGGGTTTGATCCCTGCGGTGGGTACAGTGTAGCTAGCCCATTGTGCAGCTCTGCACTTAAAACAAACAATTATAATAAATATATTTAATACTTACATTTAATTGTTTAAATCAAATAATAGTACCTGCAGCTTTAAGGGTTCCAAAATATATTCCTTGTCTGGAAAACATGCCAAAACTGGTAACTTGTCATGCTTATACAATCACGTTGGAATCTGGTTTCGACCCACTCCTCATATCAACATCCACTAGTGGCAGTGTTAAAAACAATCTTTAGAAAGATCCTTCCAAGTTGACAAAATTAATCAATGAATCCAGAGTTTACTAGAACTTTGTGATACGTTTCTTGTTCTTGTGCACTTTCGAATTAGATTTTGTTTTTAACTAAAAAGCATTTCATGCTGCTTATCCTCTACTTTAGTGATTCAACTTGTTAGTGTTCATATTAATGACTACATAATCTCAAATGTACAAAGTATAGATAAGTATGGTGACCTTTTTTCATGGTCCGAAGTCTACGTGATTACCAAGGCGACTAAAATCCAAACTCAACAAGTAACCTTTTAATCAAAAACACATGTTCAACTTCATTTTGTTTTTACTGCAGTACCACAGCTTAGATCTGATTATGCTTCAAGTATACCATCAGAACCAATCAGGTGGCTTTATATCAGCTTAAAATATTCAGTTCAACATGCTATGCAAGATTTCCCTAAACTACATAGACCATCAGAACTAATCAGCTGACTGTATAACAACTTAAAATATTCAGTTCAACATGCTATGTAAGATTTCCCTAAACTACATAGACCATCAGAACTAATCAGCTGACTGTATAACAACTTAAAATATTCAGTTCAACCATAAGAGCAAAGTAACTTGTTGTATACCAGCTTAAAATGTTCAGATGAACACGCAGTGTGTGATTTCCCTAAACCATGTAAACCGTCAGAAAGAATTAGCTGACTTGATACCATCACAAAATGTTCTGTCCAACATAACTTTACAATATAACAAATCACATGATTAGATTATACTTGTGACATCGTGATACGGTATAATCTAAGATGTTCTTTAACTTAAAATGTGATCAGATTATACTTGTGACACTGCGGAACAGACCTATACTTTACAGAACCAACCAGATTCTATAAAATATATGGTGGTACTTTCCCTCTCTAAAACAGTGTTAATAACTTCCTTCATAGTAACACCATGGAAACTAGATTAACAGTTTCTTGTCATCACTCGCATGCACTCGGTACAGCCGTATCAAGCATCATTATTTAAGCTAATTGCTTAAGCTAATATCACGTGACGCTAAACGCTCTTTAATTAGGAGGATTTCATAAAATTTAGCAAATTTGTGCTTAAAATTTGACAATGAATAATAACCGTCCACCAGTATGATTCTTTTGAAAACATAAGATAGAAACTTCTAATCTATTTGCTTGGCCTTGTCAATACTTATGTATTTGTACGTGCTTTCATCTTATAGTTGTGCTGCTTTAAATCAGCCGTCTTTAATCCGAATGACAAAAACTAAACGTGGTGCACCTTTACTCTTAGGTGAAGCTGTAGTAAAGATTTCAGACTGATAGCTCACGTGACTTTTTGCGTAGGCGTGCACAAAAAGTTTTGTCAAAATTGAGCGGTTTTTTGTTGAATAACTTTGCACGTGCGGCTTATAGTTAGATGAAATATGACACCTAATTGTAAAGATCTATCAGTGTACCAAATTTGAAGAAAAAATCCATGAAAGTTAAGTGTGTTTTTCTATCAAATAAAGTTTCCGTACTTTCGGTGCGAATAGAAAAAAAAGGAAGAAATTCAATCAAAATTGGAGATTGCATATCTCGTGTATTTCTTAATGGATTGCTTTGAAATTTGGTATGTGAAGAAAGGATCCAGTAGAGCACATTCATTGAAAATATGTGATATCTTGGATTACCACAGTCTGAGCTACATAAAGTGGAATATTGCTAAACTATTACTTCTTTCAATAACACACAGTGTGTCCTGCGGGTTATTTTGGCCGCATGACACACTATCGTGTATCTTGATAACTATACTAATCTAAGAGTTATAAACAGGACCGGTCGTGTTCTAGAAGCTAGCTTGCTTGACTGTGAATCCAAGGTTCGCGTCTCGTTGGCGTAAAATCGCGCTCTACACTTTGGGACCGTGGGACCGGTGTAAGAGAGGTCCCAAAATTCGACTAGAGTAAATCAAGAGTTGGCAGTGGGTGTTGTTGAGTAGCTGGCTTCCCTGTACTCGGCAGTGGGTGTTGTTGAGTAGCTGGCTTCCCTGTACTCGGCAGTGGGTGTTGTTGAGTAGCTAGCTTCCCTGTACTCGGCAGTGGCTGTTGTTGAGTAGCTGGCTTCCCTGTACTCTATCAGTTGAAAATTAGGGACAGCTAGCGCAGATAGCCCTTGTGTAGCTTTGTGTGAACTTCAAAAGCAAACAAATGAACAAACCAGTTAAAAATAACGGACAAAAGTGATTTTGAAACGCGTTGTAACCCAAATATTACTTAGACTTACACGTATTCTGTTCCTATATAAACTACATTTGTATTAGTCTATAGGAATCATTACGTCACAGAAAAATAGAGAAAAAGTTATATACGAATCGAACGATATCCATCGTCTCTCCTCGGGGGGGGGCAATTTGGACAAGATACATATTGGAAAATGACGTCGTTTTGTGTAATTCTGATTTTACTTTTCAATAAATTGAAATAGTAATTTTATATTAAAAGTTGTTTTCTTTAATATATTCATATTTTTTCTCAGTATTCCTAACCTATCACTGTATTTTTTTCGCATATGCCACGCCCTCGAAAAAGAAGCTGCGAACCCCATTTTTTTTTCGTCGTTGAAAAAAATGAAAATCGCGCCAATGAATTTTATAAAATTCTAGACATACACGTATCTCGCTGACAGAGCTACAAAACATTTCCTGCTTCCTCTCCATTACCTTCTATGTCATAGATTCAAACACTGTGGTGGTAATTTTGACAGCTCTAAGCTATTTAAAAAATTAATGATAGTAACTCCTATAAAAGGGTGATTTTTCTGAGCATTAGAATCGGAATAGAAAATATTAAAATCCAAAATTAGAATTACAACTTTCTGAAATTGCTTCTCCTCTAAACAAAAGAGAGAGAAAACTACTATTTCGATGAATAAAACATTTTCGATAATTATGTTACGACAATCCTGTGAATTGCATGAAAAATCGTGTAATTTCCTTAGAAGAAACTACTGTTCCTGACACAGAACAATTACTGACTAAAACCCTGAAACATGTTCCTGACACAGAACAATTACTGACTAAAACCCTGAAACATGTTCCTGACACAGAACAATTACTGACTAAAATCCTGAAACATGTTCCTGACACAGAACAATTACTGACTAAAACCCTGAAACATGTTCCTGACACAGAACAATTACTGACTAAAATCCTGAAACATGTTCCTGACACAGAACAATTACTGACTAAAACCCTGAAACATGTTCCTGACACAGAACAATTACTGACTAAAACCCTGAAACATGTTCCTGACACAGAACAATTACTGACTAAAATCCTGAAACATGTTCCTGATGTATAGAAATGGAATATCTGGCAAGAAAAAAATACAGTTGAGCAATGAATGGAGAAGCCCATTGAGTATCAATTAAGATATCATAATCATAAGAGGAGTGAAAACGGGATTGAGTGTAAATAGAACGGTTTACATCCATTTCCAAAAACCCTGAAATATGATATTAAGATTACACTTGACAAAATTATTTGTATATTTATTTTCATTATTTTTATATTGTATCATTCGGTTATTTATAAATAAAAGAATGTTCAAGTTTGTCAGAAAAAAAAACAATTTTAGTTTTTCTTCAAATTCTCCATAGTGGTCCTGTACTTAACACCTCTTAGTAACGCCAGTAAAATATCTGAAAACTATTCAATGACACATGGTAGACATTCATCAGGATCTGGAACGCCAGGTAAGTTCTGCGTTAAGTTAAAGAATTTACTCATTTTAAATGTAATTAAATTTTTGTATAGTTTGCAGTAAAGTAAAGTAATGTATACCCCTTCCGTAATAAAAGTTAATTAATCTGATTTCAAAGCAATAGTAGGTGAATCATTATCTCTAAATCTGTCTCTATTTGATTATTTTACAATTTTCCCGCAAAGCTACACAGAGCTATCTGCGCACAACCGTTCTTAATTTTAAACTGATAGACAACAAGAAAGGCAAATGATCGACAGTGCCCACTGTCAAACCTTTGATTATTCTTATGTGAACGAGTAGTGAGGCTGAACTGTCACCTTTATAACGCACCTACGACCCCAGAGTGCGAAGTATTTTTTTGTTAGTTTGTTTGGAATTAAGCACAAAGCTACACAATGGGCTATCTGTGCTCTGCCCACCACGGGTATCGAAACCCGATTTCTAGCGTTGTAAGTCCGCAGACATATCGCTGTGGCACTAAGGGGGAAGTACGTTTTTGTGGCATGGGGACGTGAATCGTGAAGCCTCGAACTCACATACCAAGCACACTAACCACTAGATCACGCCCGGCCATCCTGTAAATCTGAAGACGATATTTTTAGAAATGAGAAAGTAAATCATGAAAACTAATTCATTAAATCGATTTTTTGATGATACCTCATCCAGTTTTTAAAATAAATTGAGTATGTGCCATTCATTTAGTTGTATGAATTTTCTCCAGTGTTGTATATCAAGTAAAGAGTTTATGAAAATTCACCAGCTACAAGGAGTTTGCGATTAAAACGCCCCACAAATTGAAGCAAAACGACAAAAATCTGTGAAATTTCTTAAAATCGATTTCTTCTTGATCTATGTGCTCATTTTTGTCGCATGTTCACCAGAACTATTTTAATGACCAGTAATGGAACTTTTACATAATTTTACAGTTTTACTTACCCACTTCTACAACAGGAGCGAGATAAAAGGAGAGTGTCACTTCACCATGCACTCCACTTTCTTTAACTTCAGTAGACTATACTTGTAATATCTTCTCATGACCTTTTCACCCTCGTTATTGGCTAACTTAAAATTTTAATCGCCCCGGGCGACCAGCTTCTTTCAAAGCTATCCTAAGATATTCCGCGCCCCACAGTTTAGGAATCACTGACACCAGGAGACTAGTGTTCTCCATTTTACTTATTTCCAGTAGACTATATGTGTTGTAATATTTCATCATATACTCCATCCTTTGGAGTATATTCCATGAAGTCTTATCATGTATTCCTAGATTATTTTGTTCTTCTAAACTACATAACACACAATTATTACCAGGGCTATAAAACTACAACCAAAGATTTGTAAGTTATAATAGTTAATGGTCTGAAATGCATTAAATAACTGATTCATCAGGTGGAAAACAAAGTTTTATAATAAATATTAAAAACATGGTAACACCAAAAAATACCTTTGATTAAGTATGTTTCGGAATTGCTTCAAATCTCATCATCAGCGTTAAAACCTTGAGAAGAGAGTTCACAATATTCTAACTACAAAAAACAACATTAGCTACTGAGCGTATGGTTTCTGTATTCAATAGGAAGTTTAGAAATAACATATTTAAACGGTAAGAATATAACAGAACGTACGACTCCAGAACCACAGATTACGAACTCTTTATTAAAGAAAGTCTCTCCGTTTTTAATGATCGCCCACCACTAAATAATAACACCAACCTCTCCCTGTTGTCATTAATTTAATCAATTCCGGATCCTCAGTGTTTATAGTTGATAAAAATAATTATTATTTTTAAGATACAGTGTTTATACTTATATTCAGAGCTTTTATTATAATATTTTATCTTCACAATGTTATTTATTAAACATGTTTATCGCACATCCTATTATATTGTTGCCGTTTAAATCTATTTTTCGAAACTTCCGATTGAACACGGAAACTATACGCTCAATAGTTACTGTTGTTTTTTGTAGTTAGAATATTGTGAACAAACGTTTGAGGTTTTAACGTTGATGATAGGATTTGAAGCAACTTCCAAACGCTCGTTATCAGAGATATATTTTGGTTTTACCGTGTTATTAATCTATATAAATAATACGCTTGCCTTTGTCTGTCTGGACCTTTTCTCGTACATTTCTCGATCAAACGCTAAAAATTTCATATCGTTAGAAAGGCCGTTGTCAGAGGAGTCCAGATTGCATATTGGCTTTTCCATTAAGAATAATCTTACCTGTTTTTTTTGCTTTGTTAAACTTCTTAATGTAACGATTATGCTACACAATAGCACAATGTCGTTGTCATCACGTGATGACTGACTTGGATTTCAACTTTAGTTGTTTTTTTTTTGTATTTGCAAAGTATTTCACACAAACAACACTTACCTCTCGTGTAATTACCTAAAACAAAATATACATTACACTAAATAGAATCGCTATAAGCTTTCTCGACTTACTTAGGTCTAAAATACGCATGCGCAGTTCGTTCAAAACCATATGCTTATCACTTTGTGAACACGCTTCCAGACGTTTCTGCATATTCAGCTAAGTTTACCTTCATTACAGCTTTACATTCATTTTACTTTGTAATAATTTAGCTTCGGTTCATTTCATAAACTACTGTAAACAACTTTTAGCTACTTTTTCTTCAGCATGAGTTTTTTATTTATCGTTTCTGTGAGTTTCTTTGTTTCAACTCGTAAAACAGTGTCGTAGCTTAAATACCGAACGTGAAAATGATAAAATAAGGAAAATTCAAGCGAAGGGCATGAAAACTACCGCAAATGTTTTGCGGGTCGCGGCTAGTATTTTATATAAAACTTCGTTTTCCACCTGATGAATCAGTTATTTAAAGTATTTCAGACCATTACCTATTATAACTTACAAATCTTTGGTCGTAGTTTTATAGCCCCAGCAATAAATCTATATTTGTATTGTGTGTTATGTAGTTTGGGAGAGCAGAATAATCTAGGAATTACATAATAAGATTTCATATAATGTACTCCATCCTATTTAACGCCAGTAGATTATATGTGTTGTAATGATTCATCATGTACTCTACCTTATTTAACACCAGTAGACTATATGCGTTGTAATATTTTATGATATACTCCATTCTGTTTAACACCAGGGCAATAGCGTATTGTTCATAGAGACAGGCCTTAATTGTTTGTCTATTCCTATTGTTATCTCAGTATTTTTTCTTTAAACGATTTCTTGTGTTTTTTTGTTATAGAGAGGGCATTGATCATGAAAGTCCACCGTCGACATGACAGAAGAAGAGGACTAGGATTAATTGTGATAAGTCTCTCAATACTTAATTTTCTTTGGGTTGTCAACTTTTATATATCTAGCTTTTCATCCTCACAGGAAGATTTATTTGAACTATCGCCACAACTAACACACAGCTTGTCCTTTCTAAACGATTCTGAAGACTTTGGGAGACTAGTGGACCGCTTAAATTTTAATTTTTTGTTGAATACTAAACCGTGTGATACTAGTAGTGACATCTTTATGTTAGTGTTTATCCACAGTGCACCAGAACATTATCATAACCGCCAGACAATCCGCCAGACTTGGGGTCTAGAAACAAATCTTGTGAACGATTCTTTCCGTGTCGTGTTTCTGGTTGGAGAAGTACAGAACCAAAGTGTTCAGTTGACGCTGGAGGAAGAAAACAAAGTAAATCAGGACATTATTCAAGGAAATTTTATTGATAGCTATCGAAATCTTTCATACAAATACGTAATGGGACTTAAATGGGTCACATATTTTTGTCGTCAAGCTAGGTATGTATTAAAAGCAGATGATGACATCTATATTGATATCTTTCAATTGGTTCGGCATATAAAAGTCTCTTTTGAAGTCTCTCATGGAGAAGGCTTGGTTGTGTGTTTTCTCATAAAGAAACCCTACGTGAAAAGGAGTCAAAGAAGTAAGTGGCGTGTAAGTTTTGCAGAATATCCAGGAACGTATTACCCATCATACTGCTCTGGATGGGCAGTTCTAATGTCCCCTCTTATGGTTTATAACCTTTATCTTCAGTCCTCACGCGTTCCTTACTTTTGGGTGGACGATGTCTATGTAACAGGCACGCTTGTAAAAATTTTAGGCGTAAAACACGTAGACATAACAACATCTATGTCTGTCAATAAAGAATATGTCATCAGTTGGCTTCAGAATAATGACACTTCTCTACCTCCACCGTTTGGATACCCCGATCTGTCCCCTGAAAATATCCATGCCTTATGGACTAAAACCTTGCTTTATTACAACAAAAGTGGTACTTCTTAGTAGAAAAAGCAAGAAATATTCTAGTCCAATTTTATTTTTTGAATGTTATTTAGTTATTGATCTTCTGGAAGACAATAGCAAAAATTCTAGCTATAGGTAGATAGTGTTAATTGACACGTGCCGTATAGACTATGATATACTTGAAAACGTAGTATTATTTCATGAATATTAGGTTTTAAGGGTATTTCTTGAGTGAATAATGTTCCGCAAGACGTTGGAAGAAATAATTAAAATAAACTAATCAATAATATAATACATGACATTAAATCAAAACTAATATTTTTCAACGTTTCGGGCAGATTTCCTTCATCAGGCAGAATAAACATTCGAAAGACTGTGTACAGTGTCTGAAAAATGGCGTCTGACTGAAATGTCGAGAAATATGTTTTGATTTACACCCATATATTATTTGTTTTAAGGATATTTTGCGTCTGTTGCCTGAATTGTTGCACTTTTACTGTATGTTTTATTATAGACATAATATTTTATTATTGTCTTGTATTTAATTGTTTGATGAATTTAAATAATTAATAAGATCGTATTTGTTATTAACATAACGTTCTGTAAGAATTTACAGTATGTTATTCTTATGTAAGAGTCTGTTAAACAAGTGATATATATTCATAAGTGAAATTATTAAAACTTTAAATCTATTTTAAGACACAAATAATCATACTAATATTTATGGGAATATGTACCTAAAATAAATTTACGGAAAGTACATTATTTTCTAATTGTATTTTATACACGATATACTTTACTTGGTAACGGAGAACAATTTAGTTGTTAAAAAACAATACTAATGAAAATACGTCCATCATATGACAATTACAGCTCTGTTGAAACTTTGTAGAATGGATGGCAACTGCCTGTTGCAGAGACACAATTGTAGAGGACGACGTTTCGAAAATGTTCTGCCTTTCGAAACGTCGTCCTCCATACTTGTGTCTCTACAACAGGCAGTTGCCGTCCATTCTACAAAAGTTTCATCATGAATACTCTGCCTAAACAATCTATCAAAGAATACAACTCTGTTGTTTCCCTGGAAATACTTTTGAACACTTATGAAGAGTATTATTATTAGAACAACAAGATTTTTTTTACAATAATAACTGTCTATGAAATTATCTTAGGATCAATATTTTCTTTGACTCCAAAGTTACTAATTTTAAAAACGCATCAGATACATGAAAAAATTATGCTGGTTACCAGGTTTGTGAAAATGTATATATACTAACTTCACCACTTCCCAAACTTGGAAATAAGTACAGAGTTTTTGTCGTATTGATATTTTTTTGTTTTTTTTACCCAAATCATAAATTGTTTACCCATACAAATTAATCTGATGTGGTTGAAGTGAAATATATCATTACTCAGTCTAACTTACAATACAATCTGTTTGAGAAATTAATGCAATATATTTTCAATGTATGCATAATATTATTACAAGTTAGTTGTCCTTTAAATGTGGTACGTAGAATCTCATCAAGACTAACTAGAGATAAGATGTAATGTGATCTCATTAATCTTTTTATTTAAAGCTAAGCTGCCAATAAACGAAAGCATTAACCCTAATGTTTCAGATAATTTTTATTTCTGTAGTAAATTTCATAGGTTGGTTTAAAAGTTTTCTTGATTAAACTTAAAAAAATAACTTCAAGGTTTAAACATCATTGGGAACATAAAAATATGAAAACAGTAGTCTGCATTTGAATGCATGTAATACAGGTTTACTTATGCAAGAATTTTTCTTTTCCAAACAAAACAACAGTGAACTAGATTTCTAGATTTAAACTGGAATAGCTAATCATCGCAATGATAATATTTTCATGTTATTTTTCGTTCAAGTTTTGTTTATTATCAGCTCACTTTAATATAAATGTTTAATTCTGTAAACATCCAGTGTACGTAAGTTCAGCTTTATATTTTACTACTATTTCTTTCTTTTTTATTGTGAATACCATGGCTGAGTTGAGTAGCTTCCACTATTAATTTTTGTGTTAATGGCTATATCTCCCAGTCTTTTTTTCCCTACATGCCAAAGAAATAAATACCATACGAATGGTAGTGCGAATGTCGGTACGTAGGTCGCACTTCACAAAGACTGCAGGATAGAATTAAACAACATGTACCCAAAACCATGTCGCTCCTATAAAACAAAATTTCTACCACCTAAATGTGAATCGGCAATTGGTCAGTATTTACTAGTGAACCCGACTTATGCTGACAACTACACGGATAGCATGTTTGAAATTATTGCAAATGGTCGGTCGACCTTTCAACTCTCTAGTTTGGAAGCCACCTTTATTAAAACAAATAAACCTGTCCTTTGCCACCTAAAAGAATTCCTATACAATCTACACATCCTTCAGTAAGTCTGTGACATTTCCTGATTGGCTAAAGGACACGCCGATCAGTGATTGCCTTGCCGGCTTACTTTGACTCATTTTATAAGCTGTACTAATTCTTATAGATCATTTTCCAGACAGTTCTGCTATGATTAGTGTCTGGCGAAAAGCTTCAGCAGATACTTCTTTTGGAACATCTCAACCAACAATTTGTCCAGTTATCAACGCTATTTTCAAGTTTTGAACAACTCTACTTTCAGGATCTACGTATTTACATAATACCATATGCTCTTGTGATATATTAATCTAACCAGAAACACCTTAGGTGTGAAAAAAAAGGTGCTGCCAAATGAATGAATATTTGCTGTGAAATTCTTATCAATGCTATAAGTGTAGCTACCAGTTTGGCCGCCAATTTTGATTTTATTCCTTTAAGCCTCACGCTCAATCATTTTTTGGCAGCACCTTTTTTTTTACACCTAAGGTGTTTTTGATTAGATATCATGACTTTTTGTCAAAACACACCACCAACAAACCACAGCAAGTAAGAAAGTGGCAGTCGATTATAACCAACATTAGCTTTAGGATCGCAACCCTATTTATTGTTCGATTGTACATGATTATTACTATGCAAATAATTATACTTTTAACTTGAAGGAGTATTTCTCATATTCCTTCTATCAAATAATTTATTTATGTGTGGAACTTTTGTCCCTTAATTTCTGTATACTATATTCTTCTAATGAAAAGCCCAAAACCATCATGTATTTAACGCAAATTGTAGATTCTAATTAGATCCAACAGGTTTATTCTTAACAGTCCACCTATAACACAATCATTGTCTATCACTCTACAGTAGCTTTAGTTTCTAAGCAACTAAGAATGATAAAAAAGGCCATAGTTGTAACCACATATTTTATTTCTCACGAACATTAGAAGCTTAAACAAGAAAGTTTGTTTTTTGAATTTCGCGCAAAGCTACTCGAGGGCTATCTGCGCTAGCCGTCCCTAATTTAGCAGTGTAAGACTAGAGGGAAGGCAGCTAGTCATCACCACCCACCGTTAACTCTTGGGCTACTCTTTTACTAACGAATAGTGGGACTGACCGTGACATTATAACGCCCCCACGGCTGAAAGGGCGAGCATGTTCGGTGGGACGGGGATTCGAACCCGCGACCCTCGGATTGCGAGTCGAGCGCCCTAACCACCTGGCCATGCCGGGCTTACCATTAGAAGCAATTATATAGTTTATTCATAATTTAAATTATGGTTTTATATATGAAATTGTATATAAAGTAATATTAACTAACCCTCTTCATCC